GGCCGACGTCCAGCCGGGAATGGAGGTAAGATGGGGGCGAGGGTCGGGGCTCTTATGTGTTTTACATGGGGCATCAAAACGCTGTCGTACTCCGATATGGCTATCGGAGTACGGCAGATTTGTTTGATGTAGGCAGGTAGTGGTGGGCCACATCTGTGCCACGGTTGTGTGTTTCGTTGTGGAATCGTTACCCGTTGCCCTCTTTCTTGTTCCTGATGCTATGGAGGGTGGCTGGGGCTGGTTGGGGGAGGGGGCCGTGTATGTTTCGCCTCCGCCATTGACGTGCCTGCCCTAATTGTCATGTTCCCATCCATGTGCTGCACGTGCAGCAGGCCTCGGAAGATGGGGCCAACGTCCAGCCGGGAATGGAGGTAAGATGGGGGCGAGGGTCGGGGCTCTTATGTGTTTTACATGGGGCATCAAAACGCTGTCGTACTCCGATATGGCTATCGGAGTACGGCAGATTTGTTTGATGTAGGCAGGTAGTGGTGGGCCACATCTGTGCCACGGTTGTGTGTTTCGTTGTGGAATCGTTACCCGTTGCCCTCTTTCTTGTTCCTGATGCTATGGAGGGTGGCTGGGGCTGGTTGGTCCGTCATTGACGTGCCTGCCCTAATTGTCATGTTCCCATCCATGTGCTGCACGTGCAGCAGGCCTCGGAAGTTGGGGCCGACGCCCAGCCGGGAATGGAGGTAAGATGGGGGGGAGGGTCGGGGCTCTTATGTGTTTTACATGGGGCATCAAAACGCTGTCGTACTCCGATATGGCTATCGGAGTACGGCAGATTTGTTTGATGTAGGCAGGTAGTGGTGGGCCACATCTGTGCCACGGTTGTGTGTTTCGTTGTGGATTCGTTACCCGTTGCCCTCTTTCTTGTTCCTGATGCTATGGAGGGTGGCTGGGGCTGGTTGGGGAGGGGGGCGTGAATGTTTCGGGGGGGAGGGTCGGGGCTCTTATGTGTTTTACGTGGGGCATCAAAACGCTGTCGTACTCCGATATGGCTATCGGAGTACGGCAGATTTGTTTGATGTAGGCAGGTAGTGGTGGGCCACAT